AAGCTCTCACCTTCTACTTTCTCCAGCTGAAGAAAAGTTTTGGCAATCCGTAGAACCCTAACATTGCTTTAGTCTTTTTTCTCAATGATAAGAGTTTGAAGCAAATTTCAGTCATGTGTGTTAATCAAGAAACCTAACAGGTCAAAGCACTTCACAGATGGGGAAAACATGGAAGGCAGAGATGGAGTCACTGACCTAAGATCCGTGGCTTGAGGCCAAGGTTGGGTTGACTCCCGCCAGAGCTCTTGGCCACAGTGGCCCCTGACCTGACCTCTTCTAGAGTGAGAAACTGGAAATCCATATATCATTCCAGAACTTGGGGCCTTCTTTGGAAGACAACAACTGCAAAAGTCAAGGACAGGTTTTGTGGATGCTGTAAATGGTCTATTCAAAGACCAAAAAGCTTGAGTTCTCTCCAATTTCAAATGTTTTAAAAAGTTAAGTAGACTGTTCCAACCAAGTTGGGTCCTGCCAATCAGCCTTGAATATCAGTGGATGTGCCTTTCTTGGAGTCCCACACAAGAGATAGTGAGAAGTAAGGGCACAGGGGGAGGGCCTTGCCCTGGGGAGGCCCAGGCTCAGTGAGAAGTGGGAGCCTCGTTCTAACTGCAAAGGGGGGATCACTGAACTGGAATGACATGGCTCTGTTTGCGTTTAAGTTTTCTATTACTGTGTGACAAATTACCACAACTTAGCAGCTTAAAACATACCCATTCATTAGCTCATGATTCTGCAGGTCAGGCGTCTGGAAGGCAGGGCTGGGTTTTCTTTTGAGGCTTAAATCAAGGTTGGCTACCTGTCCTCTTCCAAGGTCATTGCTGTTACTGACAGGACTCAGTTCCTGGTGGTTATAGGACTGGAGTTCCTGCTTCCTTGGTGGCTATCAGCCTGGGGCCACTCTCAGCTGCTAGAGGCTGCTGCCGTTGCTCTTGTGTGAAAGGTGATGAATTCAATTTGGCACATGTTGAGTTAGAGAAGAGGACATCCAAACAGCTGACAAAAATGACAGAATCTTTAGTGAATTCCAGAGTTCTCAACTGGAAGTGATTTGGCCCCACAGGGAATGGTTGGCAATGTTCTAAGATATATTTAGTTGTCACACTGGAGGGGTATGGCCAGCATCTAGGAGCCAGACATCAGGGACACCGCTAATCATCCTACAATACACAGGGCAACGAAGACTAATCCAGCCCAGTGTCAATAGTGCTGAGTCTGAGAAACCGTGAGTTACTGGTTGGTACCTACACCCACAGAGGGAGGAGAAGGGGGTACGAAAACAGAGCCCTAACAGGAGGGCTGGCCAACCCAGAGCTTGAGAAGAAGCCAGGAAAGGGGAGGTAAATCAGAGAACAGAGCTGAAAGACAGGGAGAGGAAGGGGTGTGGATTCTGGAAGGCATCAAGAGCTGCTGAGGGTCAAGCAATGAGGACTGGAAGTAATCACTGGATTCCTGGAGACAGAGGCCACCAGAGACTGTGCCTGAGCAGCTGTCTGTTTGGGCTGAGTGTGTTTTCCAGAGGGGAGGACAGAACAAACACCAGCAGAGGCAGGAGAGAAGCAAAGAGAGGGAGCAGCATCTGTAGAGGGACTCAGGCTGGAGACACTGAGATCCGAGATCCGTAATGTGGTAGTTGGTGGGTGGGGGTGGGGGGACGATCACAGAGGGAGCCCCTGGGAGAACCGTGGGCATAAGAACTGGGAACACTGCATCTCTCACTCGGGGCCCTGCCAGGGGGTGCCTCCTTAAATGGTGCACCTCGGGTGGCCCTTGTGCCCTACCTGGTCCCAATCCTGCCTTGGAGATAGACCGGTGTGACAAAGAGGGACACCTCTCCCATGATGGCCAGAAGGGAGGAAAACAAGGTGTGGGTGAGGCTGCAGGGGGGCTTGGAATTTTGGTGGAGGAAGGTTGGGGAGAACTATCCTCAAAGTAGGCAGTGGGGTCACTTTTGAGAATAAAGGGGAAGGGGGACAAGGGTTTGAGGAAAGGGTGGAGTTCTGTTAGGAACTCAGCCTGGGCAGGGCTGAGGGCGCAGGGGGAGCTGGGTACTCTGAAGACGGAGTCTTTTTCCTTGTTATTTCATCCCCCTGAGTTTTTGTTTTTGTTTTTGTTTTCCCTTTTGGAAAAAATGCTCATCAGAGTTCCGTCCAACTCTGACTCAAGTGTTAAAACATTTCTTCCCCCAAATGACTATACTCCATCTACTGATACTCATTTTAAGGGTCCAGTCTGTTGAAAGATAAGGAGACTATTACAGCAGAGATGGGAGACAAGACATTGGGCTCAGAAAGAAAAGAACAGTGATTAAAATATGGGCCTTCCTGCACAAATTGTAATGCTTTTTATAAAAGCAAAATTGAGAGAAATTACATGAAGCTTCATCTGATTTTCTTAGAAGTCCTGAAACTCACAAGTGCTAAAGAATTACAATATTAACAGAAAGAAAGGCTATTAAAATTAAAGGGGATTTGGAAAGAACTATCATCTTTTTTTTTTATTCCTTTTCATTGTAAGAGATGAGCCAAGATGTTTTTTTAAAATTCAGCATCTCTGCTTTTATTATCACAGTAATGCAGTTCACTGTGATAACATTAATGCTTCCTCCCAAATCACAGTGTTACTCCTCCAAGACAAGTGTCTTCTACATTCAGAGCCTTGGGCAATCCAACCCCCCTCCCCGCACCCCTCCCAAGGGAGGAGCAAAAGCTCCCTGACTCTGCAGAAGCTACCCACCCACATCTGCTGCAGGAACACAGGAAGAAGGGCTGTAGGTCCTGTGGATGCGGGCTGTGCTGGGAAGCCCGCCCACATGGCTGTGTTTCTGAGCCTGATGCTCTTTCTCCATGACTCCCGTGGTTTGGGTCAAGATTGAGCTGGGTGGCTTCTGTGCTGTCCCAGCCTCATGAAGCCTGGTTTCTGGACAGCTGCCTCCTAACCAGCAGTCTTTGCAAAATGTCAGTGTGGAAATCGGCCTAGACTCTCAGCAAACTAAGTATAGTTAGGGAGGGCAGAAGGGGTGTGCATGCGCTGAGACAGTTTGCTTCTTCATCATGAACACATCTGAGTCATGCTTGCAACCATATTCGCTGACGGAAAGACTTTTTCTTGAAGGTGCTGTTACCAAAAAGTTTGTCACATCTACAGAGAGCGGCACGTGTTTAAAATTGTGAGGAAAAATTGTGAAAATCGCTTAGCTGAGAGGCAGATGGTTCTGGCTGATGGAAGCAAGAACAAGCAGGTTAGTGTTTTCCACCCTGAGGATTCCCATCCCCAGCCCCCCCAGCTGTCCCTGCAGCCATGGGGTGGGGGAGCTTCTGAAAGGTACCTGGGATCCCCACTACCTGTACTCCTCCAACCTCAATCAGAAATCTCTGGGGAAGGGGGAGAGGGGCAGGGGGCACACAGGCTGGCTGAGGAGCTGGCCTCTACCCTCTAGAAGCCCTGAATCACCCCCTGAACCGCCATGAGGTCGCCCAGCACTTCTTAAGGGCAGTTACTTTTAAGGGAAGAGGACTATATTGCAATGGAGGGACTCTTCCTCTTGCCCTTTGTTAAATTGTTCCACAAATTGGTTGTTTTACATAAAATTTGAAATTACAATTTGACAGATCTAAAGCCACACCAAGAATAAATGGCTGACACAAGATGGTACCCTTAATTCCAAAGTCCAAATCTTTCCCTCCGTCAAATCCTTAGCCCCAATCCACCGCCCTCCTCCTTCTCTCCACCACCAAAAGTGGAGGGGAGGCGGGCAATAGGATTGAAACTTTGGTTTGTTGAATTAATTTAAATGTATTTGCTTTGAGGATCCACAAAGCCAAGGCGGAAACCAATTTCAATGAGACTGGTTCTATTACAGCAGGCGCTGAATTTCGTAGCGATGGGACCCATCTCCGAACCTTGATCACCAGAGAATTTTCCTTTCTCCGCGCTGGCAGGTGGCAAGAACTTGGAGTCCTGGAGGCTGGCGCTCTTTCCAGGCACCCAGCCTTGGGGCACCACGCGCACGGGGTGGGTGGTGGAGGGGAGAGAGCCCGTAGAGCCGGTGGGGAATAGGGAGGCCAGGAGCCAGGGGCTTTGGGGAACCGGGGGAGCCGAGGTAGGGGGAGACGCAGCCCGGGAGAACCGCGAGCTTGGGGGAGCCGGGGTAACCGCGCTGGCTCATGGGGTGTGGCGCACACAGACGTCCCGGTCTTTCCGGAGTCCCAGGAAAGCCAATGGAGGGTTTTGCTAATCCCTGCACCCCGTGGCGGAGGCCACTGCGGGAACACGCCAGGCAGGGTTTCGGAAAAAAAGAGGCTTCGCTGGACAGCTGGGGCGGCCCGAGCTTCCAGCGTCTGTACTCTCTCAGGGGTCTGGTCCGCCTTCGCGCATTAACTGCGCGGGGACTCCGTATGACTCCAGTGCCACTGTCTTGGCCCAGCCAGGCCTGGCCTTGGGCACTCGCGTCCTTCACCGTGCTGCCTCTCCTCGTGGCCCCAGCCCATCGACGTCCGTGGGCTTCATCGAGACTCCTTACCCAGCGCAGCGGCCCTCTGCTCCCTTCCCGGTGGCCCCAACCACACAGTGGCCCTGGGTGGTGAGAGATTCCGCAAGGCAGGGTCCCCCATGGGCGAGCAAAGGTGACGTGCGTTCCACTGGGGGCCTGCGGGAGACGTGATACCTGCGCGAGGGTCCAGGACAGCCGAGACTCCTGGGCCCTAGAGGCCAGATGAGGCCGGGATCGGTGAGATTCCTGGGGACTCTGGTCTCGGGCGCAGGCGGCACCGAGTGGGGGAATCACTGGGGCGGCGTGTCTGGCTCTCGGCCGGCCCAGGGCGGGGCGGAAAGCTGACCTCGGGGCGGGGACCGAGACAACACTCTCACAACGCTGTCGGGGGAGGGGGCTCGTCACCCACACTCACCCCGGGCTGGGGCCCCGACGGCATTTAAAGGGCGGAGGGCGGGGCCCGGCGGGCCGCACCCCGGAGCTGCTGGCGGCCACGCTGGATGGGGCGCCCATGAGCTTCGGCGCCGAGCCTCCCGGCCAGGCCCGGGAACGACTGGACATGGCCTCGTACTGCGACGGCTCGGGTGTGTGCCCGGCCCCGCACAGCCAGGCCCGGGCAGCCGCGCCCCCGGCGGGCTACGCGCTCGGGGATCTGGGCGCGGCGGGCGCCG